GCCCGCGGTTTTTCCGGCCTTCCTCTCCCCTCCCCCTCTCCCTCCTCCCCTCTCTCTTTCTCTCTCTCGACGCGACTGAGACTCCTCTTCGAGTCCTGTTACTCGCCGCGGTTGGACTCGGGGCCTCGTGAACAGCTGCGCGCGATTGTCGCATCCATTGTTTACATGTCTTTATTATGCGACAGGCGCGCACCTGACCGAACGGCTGAAATGTCAGCACGACGGACTCCGTCATCTTAAGCCTGCCGATGCGTTTTGACAGGCGGTTTTGCGTGATCTTTAAATCGTTTAGCGAAAACAGGGCGATCAAAAGTACATCACTGAAAGAAGATAGAATTCACTCTAATCAAGCGGTTTATTTGTATTCTCAAAACGTTGATTATATGGTGACAATAACTGTTATGATTATAATATTAAGTATTATATGTGACAAGTTGTTGTGCAAATTGTTAAAATATTATTCGCACAGTCTTTAAGATAACAGATAATAGACGCGTGTAACGTGTGACACGAGTTTACGTGTCGATCGTAAAACAAAACGCGACAAACATGTTGGAAAAAAGCGAAAGACGCATTACATCCCGAAAGACCTTGTCGTGTTCAAGACTAAGATCATTCGCAAATAAATTCACGAGAAGTCATGTTCTCTCGCCGATCGTTGGATCTTGTCGAGCTGAGAAGCTCTCGTTTCTCGAGAGATCGACCACCAATCTGTTCTTACTGTCCGTTTAATACTGTCGCGAACGACGGCGGCGGCGATTAATTCGCGAAGTTATCGCGTCGTGTCGAACTCGTCGGGTCGTTTTCTTGAGACTTTCGCGAGACCCGCTAGGTGAGGAAGAGGCACGTTAATCGCACGTTAATCTGAATCGCGACGCGCTAATTTCGCGCGGGCGAGCGATGAGCGTTCTGAAGCGCGATCTCCTTCGCCGAAGCGTGACCGGCCGCTAACGAACGTGAAAGGAAAAACAGTCGGGGACGACAGTCCCCGGTACGCGAACGTTGACGACGTTATCGTACTGGGTTATCGAAAATAATTCCGCGCGAACGCACGCGACAGTGCATCGTTACGTAAATTTTAATCCGATAACTCGTCCCGCGTTATCGCGACCGGCGGGAAAATCGGGCGCGGGTACACGTAGGGACGGCACCAATTTAACGAGCTGCTGAATACTTACTTATTCAGTACCGCGTGCATATAAATACCACTTGTTATTACCTTAGAGATATCGATACGCCGCCTCGGTATCGCTATAGCGATAATCCGGAAATTTACCACGTGGCAATTAATTACAGAAGGTGTATCAGTAGCCGATAAGTAATTGTGTCGTATTATAGTTGACATTTCAGAATTATCTTCGCGGAATATCTTAACATGTTTATTCTTTCTACTTTCTATTCGATGATCGACATTTTTCCCGCATCGAATATACGAATGCCGATTGCGAAGGGAAAATATATGAATACCGGAGCTGTTTAATAACAGAGAGCGAAATATCTGTGCCATAGAAGATATTACGTGCATGTTAAATGTATGCTGTAAAAAAATGGCACTCTTACTGGCATCCGATTTGTGTCGAGTGTAGAACGCGTTGACGCTTTCTGATTAAAGCACCAAACTCGAGTTTTTTCTTCGAACGCTAATGAAATTTTCCCCTCGGTTCCGTTTTCAAGTCGTTTGCGTCAATCTTACTTTCACACGCTGCCAAAGTTTGATTGCGAACTCGCAATCAAGAGAATTTCCCTTTGACTCTTTACGAGTCGGTTACAAGTTACGGTCTTATATTTTTATTTCGGTAAAAGTTACAATTCGTACGTCACATTTAATTTCGCCCCGTCCGACGCGAGCCAACGGCGATGAATAATGAAACTTAAGATTATTGATACCTGTCTTCGATACGGTATTATCCGCATGATCTATAAATATTGCGTGTCCTTTGTTTACTGTTTCGAAGATAAGCGCGACTTGGTAATTGTGCGGAACACACTCGTGCGCCCTCGTCGAACGGCCGATATCTGCGCGCGGTTGATAATTACAGCCGCGATAAGAATCCGTGTTTCGCCAATAACTAAGCAATTTCCTTTTTTTCGATAGAAGTGGTTTGATCACGAAACGATGCGCCTGTTGTCGCGAGTCGATGACGCAATCGCACGAAGATATAATAATGTAATGTAACGCGAGAGAAACTTTCGCGTGTTGTGTGATAACTTTTCGCGTTTAAAAATTTACGAAAATTATGTGCTTCCCCTCGATTACCGCCCGATCAGATGTATAAGGAAGACCAATTGTGTAATTTGAATTGAATGCCGAAGCTTAAATAAACTGTGTGGTACATCGCCTTGTCTGAAAAGCGTCGATCGCGCATCGGAATGCATAATATTTATTAATGCTTATTATCTCTAATATTTTTCACATATTGCGCTTCCGTTTTATATCTCAACTTTAGTATCTCTCAAAAATTTAATGAAAATTGCCGTGTCGAGAATCACATCGAGATATACGATATTTCAATATCCACCTCACCGCGTCTGTCTCACGCGTTTCTCTATTTTCCGCGAATATCGTCGTCGCAGCCAATTGTGCTAACATTTACAATTCGTTTCCACTTTCTACAAACAGCGTCTCGAGTACGTCCGTCGCAGTCTCGATCGCGGTTTGTTCCACCTCGAGCGGCAAAATTACAAATTTCCATTACGATATGACAGAAATACTAACTTCCTTCCTTTTGGCGGAATGAAATTTCTGCAAGCCACTCGTATTCGTACAATTTGTTTTCTTCTTAAAGACCACTCCGGAAATTACGATTCCGGAAACGGTCAAAGGAAACGTAAAAATTTCCTGATTTGTATGTACTCAAATAACTTTTTATTGATGAAATCTCTATACCGCGGAGATTTGTGTAACAGCTGTTAAAAATCAAAATTTTTATTTGAAGAAACTCGAATGTGAATATATATCACTCTTGAAAAATCTCTTATATCGCGAGACACGCGAGGTTTATTAGACTATCTATTTGATTCCGTGTTTATTTTTTTAAACTCGGTTCTATTCGAACATCAGCCATCAGAACAGTATCTTCATTTAGCCTCTCGCTCGCTGCGTCATGACTCAAGATGGCTGAGACGCGAGTATCGCCGATCTTTAATCGGTGGGGTCGATTCCGAGGTGACGTACAGTTTAGTGGAAAGCCGCTTCTGTAACCAACCGACAGGTGCAAGGTGTATTTCTCTTCGTTCCGCTCCTCTCGCTCCGGCCGGAACCGGTCGGGACTCGTTTCTCTTTCTCGGGCGTTGCACGCACGAGAGTAGGCAGGCTAGCCCGAAGAAACCGGTAGTCACCGGTGTATCGGTGTATTTCGATAAAGTTGATATTCAAATTTTTCGAACGAAGAACCGAAGAACCGCCGCCTCCTTCCACGAACGATCGCATCGTTGTTTCTTCTTTTCGGTGATTCTATCTTATCGCGCCCGAAGTTCGCGACAAAGTTGACAACGTCGAACGAAAATAAGATGACTCCGGAAATGCGTATTTGTACCGCGCCCGAGGAAACTTTCCTTTCGAAAGTATCGATGATAGCATTTTTTTTATCGCGCCGCGTAACGAAATTTTCTCGGGATTTCAATTATTATTAGAAACGTTTGGTTCGCGCAACCGAGGAGAGAGATGTGATCTTTTGCACGTATCTTCCGATTACGATGCGGAACATTTTTATCGTAATTAACTTCGTTCTCGTTATCATCGGTGATAAATTTATTGGTAATTGAACTTTGACAAATGAGTGTAGAGTAATGCGACTGCT